GTTATATGCATGCCCAGCACTTCCACCCCCCAATATTTCTCCCAGGAAAGGTAAGGAAAAGGATGATACCAGATGAAAATAATGGTTCTGCAGGATGCCACACAAAACTAGAATAATAAGTGATGATAATAAATAATTTCAGAAGTGTAACACCAGATCTTTTCCTCTGAAATTTAAAGCATTGCTCAAACACCTTTCACTTGAGCACTAGTAGAAAGTTACTTGTTTTAAGGTGAAAGGCAATTCTTCACTTCTATCTCATGAAATCACTCACAAAGTACAAAAGCGGTATCCTATTTTTTTTTCAGCATCTACAAATTCTGAGATTCTTAGTATTTTATTTTTTAAGCATTAGATGTCAGCCAAAAGATTTTATCCATGCTTTTATGCGTTTCTTCTGTTACCTAGTGTCACTCAAATATACCACATTATATAAATTAGAAACACGACCTCCTTAATAACGTTGGGAATTAGTATAATTTTTAAATATTTAAGAATATAATTATTTACCTGCATTATAAATATTAACATAAAACATGTGTGACGTACTGAAAGAAACATACCTCAGCACTGTCAAGTATAAATCTAACTTCATCAAACAAAATTATGTGTACATATGTAGTTTTATAGGAAAAAAATCTAGGTGGAATAGATCCCAAAGCCTTTATAAACACCTCTAATGACACATACATAAATATAATTTGTATCGTACAAAAACAACTGCATAGATTTAAATATTATCATACCACTACCAAAAGTTACCTTTGGAAAAAGCCTTGGCATTGTTGCACGTTATTGAAAGGAATGAAGTGCTAATTTAATAAATATGTTGCTAGCTGTGTTCAAACTAAACACCAATAATGTATGTTTGTTGTTGTACGTGCATAAGGTTACGGATTGCAAAACCCCGTTAGGAAACAAGCTGCGTTTTATCAATGAATATATTCTTCTTGGGGTTTTATGGCTTCGCTTTCATGTGGATGGTCACTTTTCCTCCTTTGTTTGGTAAAGGTACAGTTTATATTTCTTCTCAGATTTCGCATTTCCCTTGAAGGTTTTTGTGATTAACAATATAATATTTTTATTGAGTTATTTCACACACAAATGACTGGGCCCAAAGGGTATTCTAGGTTTACAAGATTTTACTAATAACTATGCTCCCCTTTGTATTAAAGCTGCTAATTAGTGCTTTTAAACAGCTCAACATTTAATTCTTTGAAGGCACCATATCAAGGGCTGATATAAAACTGTTTATGTCGAAGGATATATAAAATAAGAAGGTGTTAAACCCAACACAAATTGAGTGGCAGGGGGTTCCCTAAAGTGCTAATTTTATGTTTGTTTTCGTCTCATTTAAAGTTAAGATGTCTGCATTACAACAGTGATGTGTAACATGCTTTACATACAGATTAAGCAAAATGTGTCAATTTATGAGACTTATTTGCCTGGAGAGGTAGTCACTAGTAGTTTCATCAGTGTTTTTATGTGTGCATATGTATGTGTGTTCCCTTTTGCATGTGGGTACATAAAAACGTGTGTGTGTGTTTGTGTACACACAGCTCTGTGAGTACCCCCACCCAGAGGAATTAAGTTTTATGTCCATATTAGCTAGCCCCTGCATGTCCCTTTACTTCAGTGATTATGGAAAACTTATAACTAATTAATTATCTGAGATTGCTCATTTAAAATTTTTAAATATTTCATTTCATTTAAATACACTGTGAGATTTTAAGGCCACATTTTGTTTAATTGGTATTGCTAAACTGAACTGATTTATACACTCTGAGAATATTAGATGGCTGTAATAGAGGAATAAATGATTTTTCAGCTACATTTTACCCTCCTTTTTCCACGTTAGCCTTCAAAACACCCCAGAAATTCATTAGAAACAACTTAATTCTCACTCAGATAGGCTTTTTTCCTCTTATTAAAGGGTGCTGAAAAACTGCTTCTTAGGAAACAAAACATGAAAATTTACTTTTTCTTTTTTTTGGGGGGGGGGTGGGTGGGGGGTGGGGGCAAACACATTGTCCATACAAATAACATTTTGAACTCTGAATTTAACACCGTTTTAAAAATAATTATCAAGTAAATTTCTGGTTCTCACCAAGAACCATGAATTGAGTGAAAGTCTCAGCTGCCCATCTTCAGCTGACCCCACTCCAGTTCCTGAGAGCACCATCGCTGCAATCCACTCTCTGCACCCACTTTCAGAGGTGTGGTAATTGTTTTCTGATACATCTCCATAACTATCCATAAAATAATGCAATATCCTGCAAACACTAGGGACTAGATCCTGGAAGTGAAACAGCTCAGTGCAGAATCCAACCCAAGCTATGTATTGCTGGTGTAATTAATCAGTTTACAGGTCTTGAGCTTGAGTACAGGTGTAGTCATTTCAGGGTTCACATGCAAAACTGATGAGAATTTATTTATGCAACCTAGCGGCTGTGCATAATTATCTACTAAATGTAATTTACATAGCACCAAAAGTGTTTGATGCAAACATTAAGATGGAAAATGTCACTAAGGTAAAGCTGCAAGAGGCAGGGGGGAATGGAAAACTATCTACCAGCTGGGATAACAAACACATCCATTTTATCTACTAATGCTATATCTTATTGCAAAGAAGTGGAAGATAAGAACTAAATATCCAGCTTTTGCTTAGTATAGTGAACTTTGTTGAGAGATCCCATCTTAAACTACATTTGGTTTTTCCTTTTCACTTTCAATATACAAGTATTAGACATCAAGATCTGGCTGTACTGGTCAATGTACAAACACATGCTAAAAATAGACTTTCCCTATAGATATCAGCCTGAGTAGACTGCCTGTTTGTGAACAGACGATAATGTAAGAAGAATATGAGCAATAGCATCTTTGTGAGGTTGTTACTTCAAGAACAGTACTTTGCCACTGTGTTATGTTTATTTAGGCAAGTGTTTTTCTCCTTTTGGTAGGATGAATTACTTTGCGACCAATGCTACACTGTGCACAAATGTTTTGGCCTGTTTATTTTATATGTGTGTACAAAGACAGTGGGTAGAAATGGATTGGCTAAACTCGAGATTTTCTTAGTATCATCTTGAGTAAAATCCAGCATGGCTTTTTTAGAACTCTGTTTCAAAAGGCCTGTTAAAGCTTTATCTCATTTCCAAAGTATATGATCAGCTGGCATTCTCAAAGCAGTAGTAGCAATGCTGTCCCCACAGCTTCAGGAGCAAGCACTAGGTACCTCTGATTTATGCACACTGAAGTATCTAGAAAGACATATATATTGCTTAATGTTCCAAATTTAACGTGAAATTCCATATATAGTGCTCTATAGTTGCCTCAGTATTAGAACCTAAAATACACCGATTTCCCATTTTCATGGTCTCTGTTTCTCTGTTCCTGAACTCAGCTTCCCCTGGAGAGCCTCTGGGAGCAAGAAAAATTGGAAAGTTGCCCTGACTCTCATTCTGCCCTGACACATGTGTTGGTATGCTTCAGAGCAGCCTAGAGGCAGCTTCGACAAATAACATCTGGCAGCTTGCCTCCATGATTTGGATTTATCCTACTGAACTTTAGGCACACACACTGAGGCATCTTTGGTGGGAGCCCATCACTTTGTTTCCTCTCTAGGCAATAAAGACAGCCATATCCAAAATGGGCATCCCCAAGGCACACAGGATTTGTTTTTCTTTATAAATTAATCTCATAAAAGAAGAAAAGAAGAGCAGTTGTGATGTGAACTCCAGACCAAATAGAAATGGGAGAGCAGCTCTGCCATTTCTCCTTTTAGTAGCTCTGGAAACCTGGCTATTTACCTACTGATACCTGCTTTTTTTTTTTTTTTACTGTACAGTAAAAAGGGGTGCCCATTGTAGCTGAACATTTAGGAAAATCAGAAGTTCTCTGCCTGTCTGGTCATTTACACTACCAGGAGACACACCAGCTTTCTCCTTTGCTTCTCTGTGAACTTACTATACTGAAGAGTTGCTTCACAGGACTGCATGACAGTCCAACTCCTAATAAATCCCACCTGACTGAAATGAATTAGGTCTGGGAATATGTGTTCCAGATTATTAACCAGCACCTTTGCAAGTAACTTACCATCCACATTTATTAAAGATATTGGGTGATAATTTGTGCAGTGTTCTGGATCTCTCCCTGGTCTAAGAATTATGATAATTAGTGCTCAGAGAGAGGATGTCACTCATATGTTTCTCAGGGTGCTGAGAATAGCATATCATTACACTCCTTTTAGATTTGAGATGGATAACTCCAAGGCTGTTGCTATTTTTTAACCTTGGCCATCCAAGAGGCCACTTGGTCAAGTGGATGGAGGCTCAAAGTGATGGTTAGGGGACCTGTGCTCCAGCTCCAGCATGGAACATCTAGGCTGGTCCCTAATTTCAAGATGCAAATGAGAATAAAGATCCTCAAGGCTGGAGTTCTATTTCAGGAGGCCCCTGCCCAAGAAGAAAGGCTAAGCTTGGTAAAATGCGTGAAATAGAAAGTAACTGCATCTTTGGTGCATAGTGTCAGGTGAGGATCTGATGATAATTCAGGTGGCTGTAAAGTGAGAGACCACTGCAGGAGGAGGGATCAGTGCCATAGAGAGACCACTCTAAAAAGCCTTGTAAGACCTTAAAAAATGCAGAAAATGGCAGAAGACAATAAACTACATCTTCATTTGGAGACACTAGAAAACAGGTCCTTGAATTCTAGGAGATAATTTAAGAAGAAAATTATAAACTCGCCCATGAACTTAAATTCATTTCTGTAAGTGGACTTTCACTACCCAAAGTCCTTAGATCCTAAACAACCAATCTGCCAGAATGACCCAAATAGAAGGCCTTACTGATACACTCACAGTGCAGATTCAAGAGATGGTTAGCCATGTCCTTCATCTGAATTACACCAATCCCACAACATTATCTGAAAATCTCTAGCCTTTAGATTCCTATGTTTGAATATGATGTTTTCACACCACTTTCCTGAAAGAGAAAGTAATCTATGTTTCCACATCTTTATTTCTGTGTGCACTCATGCAGACACACAAAAGACTGTGATAACAATACCATCAGCTAGGTTTTCTTCACCTCTCTGAAAAACCCTATTTCATAGCTAGTCATTAAACAGTCCAATAAGTTCCATTGTGCTACTTTGGGGGATGGAAAAAAAAACAAAAAACAAGTTTCTCCTTCAACAACATATTCCTGCTTGGCTTTCATCAAAGAGTTAAACAGCCAAGGGCTTTTAGCATCTCATTTCACTTACACACATAGGCCATTATAACCTGCATAAACAAGGATGACAAGTTGAGATTAATGAAGGTCCCAAAGTGACAGAACAATTTAATTGTCAGAAATCATAGGAGGTGAACTTTGCCAGTGTATTTATATAAGACTGCCAAAGTCTAAAAACTTCCCTAATTGATTATGACCAATAAGTAATAACACTGGAAGCAGTTTTCTGGTATACAAATAAGAAATGACCCCAAACAGTTAATAGTGGTATTAAGATGCATAATATAAGAATATTAGATTGATAAAATAAATGACCAATAACACTCCGCAAATAATTGTAGTGTTTACACTTTCAAGTAGAGCAGAGGAAAGCTGCAGTGCTGACAAAAGTCAAATGAAGTGGTCTGGTTATAGAGAAAAAACTTGCAACAACCAAGCAGAGAGCCTTACACTGATATGACTGCAGCAGAGGCAAGCAGAAACCCATTGAATCTGCAGTGCAATACTGTTCCTCCTCTCTTGTACTTTAAGAAAGTTTTAGGTTTATTTTCTCCAAGAATCTTAAAATTATTGTGCATGTTTGCTCTGAAGGAGTTAAAACAGTGCTATGTAAACATACATACACACACACAGAGTTCTGATACTAATTAAGGGGGACAAGCCATAATAAGTCTCTCTTCTAACCTTTGGAAGAGTCACCAGGTAATTCAAAACTCAAGCTACAACCCACAGCCCTTTGTGTTTTTGAATTCCAGGGACTCACTCAGTTGTTGCCTAAATATACGATCACCTTTAGAGCTCACCACCTCAACTGGAACCCTGCTCAACCTGTTCCCTTGCCTTTCTAGGATCGTATCTCCTTATTTTTCACTTCCACATATCCTGTCTTATGTTCCATTTATATCTTGTAGTCAGGCTTCTCCAATGATCCCAAGCAAATCATCAAGCTAATTTGAATGATAACTCTTAGAGAGCTGGAATAACCTCTCTTTTATTTTTTTTTTTTTCCAGAAGGTAAGTAACTAATTGTGCTGGCGGTATTTCCCTTTCTAAATATAAAGAATATCTCTTTATTCCAGTAATATTTTACTTAAATGGCTGCCAGGGATGGCTGTATAATTGATCCTGCCTTAGAGCAGGAGAACAGAATATATGGCCTATGGAGTTTCTTTCCAGTCTTACATTTCAGTGATTCTCTAATGATAAAGGAAAAAGGCAGCACTTAATGCATTTCACTCATATCACCTCATAACTGTCCCTTCACATGACTAAATCAGGCTCATTTCACCATCTTGTCCTCCTATTTACAATGGCACGTGTCAACTTAGCTATTCCAAACTTCTTCCAATAAGCAAACCAAACAGGATACTGTAGACCACGTTCTGCCTCAATATACATGAGCTGCTCTCATTAGATCAAAGAGAAAGGTAAATATAGCTGAGGCAGAAATTGTCTCCATATGTCATATGCAGCCTAACTGGTGTTTTATAAAATGATACTTACTGTCACCAGCAATTTGTGAAAACACTCCCAATTTCTCTGGGATCTTCCCCTTGCCATTCTTTTCAAACACTTAGAGAAAGGTTAGATTTTAACAGGATTTTTTTTTTTCTTTTTTGCAAGCAGAAAGTCTACATTTACTTTTCAACAAGAGCCTGAAAACCTCAGTCCCAAATGCATTACATGCCTTTGGAGTTCAGAAAGAAAGTGCCCACATTTCAATTTAGATTAGTTAGACACATCTTGATAAAAGCTGAGGTCTGACTAACCTTCCTTACTGCTGCTTTGAGCAGGGCATACGCAGTGTTAAGGGCAAACTCCTCTCAAGTTTAGCTTCTCCCTTCATGAATATATTATCTGCAGGATTTTTAGCACATATTTTTCTGTTTTTGAAAATGGCCGGACAAATACTTTGTGTAAACTTCTTTCAGACAGTAGATAACTTCTAGCTGCTGCTTGGCTGATGTGTTTTGAGAAATGAATAATCAAAATTCATGGTGTGCTGTCTGGTCCCCAATGCATTTTAATTCTTTGATCAGATAAATGTAATTGGTTCAAAAAAATAAAAAAGTATATGTCTTGAAGGGCCAGGAAAATGAATTCAGAATGTGCTTTCACAACCAGTTAAGGTTATTTACAGAGAGGCTGGGCCTCTATAACCTTTTCCCCTAAAATTTGTAGTGTTTATTTACAGAATGTGAAGGAAAAGGAGCATTGAATCTAACCCTGAAGGGTTAACAAGATGTACTTTTGGGGGAAGGCTCAGGTCACACTCCTCTTGAGCCAACTAGGCATTCAAGCCTTTTAACATCATTAAAATCCTCACCGATAACAAAACCCGAGCTCCTCAGCCTCCTTACGCCACCCCCAGTTGGAAAGCTGGGAGCCCAGCTCGCAGCAGCATTGGGAAGGACGAGCCCCAAACATCACGCTTTGGCTCTGGCACTTTTGCTTGATAAGTCCAAAACAGTCCAGTTTGACAGGCCCTTTATATGCAAGCTTGAAAAATAACCTATTTAGCATTCCCCAGCTCCAGCACATGATTTCACTGGGAAACTATGCAAAAGATACTTTGGAAATAAATATGCACAAGAAATTACAACTCTGTCTGAATGACCCCCTACCTTGGAATGTCTAGAACTGTGAGAATTATAAGGTCAGGAAATATGTACAGGCCTAGTGCCTCGAAAAGTTACTATTCCTTATTAGGAATCTGCGCAGACATGGAAGCAGGAGTTGTATAAACTAAAAGGAAGATTTTTTCCTGTCGCTTACATGCCTAGTCCTTGACCTATCCCATTTATAGTTTCCTTTAAGATACTATGCATTGCAAGTTCATTTGTTTCCTAGTAGTCCTCCAGCAGTGATCTGCAAATCCAGCCAATACTTCAGCCAGAGCAGGGCTATGTAAGCAGAAGCTTTAGATTTATATGCCTGTAAAATCACAGGTATTCATTTATATCGCTGCTAACAATTTTGAGCTCCGAGTCTACAATTTCCAGGTAAAAGGTATCCTTACTCTCTGTCTGAAAATTTTAAATGCAGACATATAGAACTGTTTAGTCTGCTTTACTATAAATAGGAGGTAATATGTTATTTCAAACAAAAAGCATACCATAAACTACGCACTTAATTTTGACAGATTGTGCTTTCCTATATATGGCTCGGTCCTGCTGTGCTTTCATGGATCAAACTCCCATTGACTTCAGCTGTGTCTCCTAACAGTGCAATTCCAAATACTGCCTTTTGTTATATTTCACACATTCATTTTTTTTTTTTCCTAATCCTTCCCTCTGCATAGAAGTACTGTATTTGCAATATTCAGTTGTAGGCTTGCACAGGCTACACAAAAGCATCTTACAAGCTGAAAAGTGCTTGCAAGAAGCAATCCTTTCCCCCCACCTCTCAAATGACATAATTGGACAAGTCTCAAAATTCAGGAGAATACCACTGCTGCAGATCACCCCCGAAATCTGCAAAAGGAAAATAACTGCTTTTACATCAGAGATAACCTTTCAGCTAACTTTCTCCTCTGCGTCCCTCCCAGTTTGCAGTTAAATTGCATGGTGTGTTTATTCTTCCAGTGAACAGACCCATTATATGACTTAAAGTGTTAGCGTACACAGCACTGACATGTCCATTACATCCATGCACACTGATACCTAGATTACAGAGAAGTTCAGGTTACCCAATTAAGAACTTGAGCTGCATTTTGGAAACTGAGAAGCAGGAGGGAGCTCTGGTTAGGGTATTTCAGTTTATGTACTGATAAAGGCATCGCCTGTTTGCAGAATCTTGGTCTGCCGAGTTGCAACAGAAGGAGAGTGGAACTGAAGAGAAAGACCCAAGCCCAAATATAATTTCAGAGTGCTGGCTTGTAGTTTAGCTTCTGGGAACATGAAAAAAGGAGACTGAGGAGATGTGGCTTGTCCTCACGCCAGAGTGGAGAAGCAGTCTGAAGGACGGGCATGGGTAAAACCCACTGCGAGGGGCCCATCACACTTAGGGCAACCTGCCTTGTCCCTGTGTCTGATGGCCACTTTACGCTCTGCCTCCTTGTTTGCATGGGGCCTCAAGCTTCAGGCCAAATAGTCTGCATAACCATTGATGCAAATATCAGGTTAATTAAAAAAAAAAAATCCAAACCCTGCTGTATCAGAAATATGTCCCTGCCAGCACTTATCTTGCCAGTGCTTCATAGGAAAATTGGGGCAGATTTTGCCAAATGCCTTTTTGATTTGAGCTTACCATTGACTATCAGACAATGTCAGCTGTAATTAAAATAAACTAGAAATAGTGCAAGAGCTTTTCTGATCCTTTAGTTAAGCTGAGAACATAGGTATTATAACTGCAAGCGATGTCCAGTGACTTAGAACTGGAAGACCGAAAAACCAATCTTATGGCAGGGAATAAGGCTTGTGTCTTCAATGCCGCTCTTGCAAGGGGTCTGAGTCCCAATTATGAATGCTGTGGGTTGGCAGCACCGCTCTGTACTGGTATAAATAACTCACGTGCTGTGGGACAGCAGCGCTCCTTCCTCTGCACTTTGAGACCGCTCCTTTCCTCTCTGGTAAGGGCGTGCCGTGAATCATTTCAGGTTAATGGGAGATTCTCCGCCGACTTCAATGGGAGCAGAGCTGAACCTTAAGCAGTTGTCAGAGGACGACACAGATAAAGGCGGCTGTAGCCGCTTCCATTTTATTTAAAGATGTTGTTACGTGCTTTGACAGTTCAACCCTGCACATTTAAACATTCAGTTACTGCAGCTTTAGTGAAAGTGATTCTCGCTAGCAATACAAATCTCTGGTTACCAAACATTTACTTTATGCTCTCAAAAAGATAATCTAACAACATTTGGCGTTTTCTGTTTCCAAATAAAAGGAATTCATGATATCCCCTTGTGTTATTGTTATGGACTGTACAGCTAAATTTAACTCCTTTATCTTATGCTGATCTTTCAAATAAAGTTCATTATTATATCAGGTATGTTCACGGTTAGCAATGATTGTTTAATATTAAACACCCTTTGCCAGTAAAGCTCCATATATAATTGACTGTTACAATCTTGGTTACAGCTGTTCCAATAATAAAAGCTCTAATTAAAATCACATTCAGATTTCTGAGATAACCACTTTGGCCTCGCTCACACAGCAAATAGTACCTTGTAACTGTCCCAGAGACCAGAGAGAGACCATTTCTCCAAGAAAGCCACTGATCAATGGAAGACTGCAGGATCTGTTCCTCTGTTTCATTTACTACTAATAAAGAAGGGGCTGAAATTTTGATGCTTTCAGGCATATTTCTAGCCAGTCAAATTCTTTAGCGGTAAGAAGTCCAGATGAACTTTTGAACTATGGGACTTTGCTGAAAATCTGTATCAGATTCTTTCACTTTCTACAATGCTTTTGTAGCATGTTTTTCCAATATTTTTCCTAATATCAATACAACTAAGATACATGAATTGTGAAATGTCCCTTGTTGTCTCTGATATTTTCTCCTGTATTTCCTTCCCATCCAGCCATAACTTAAAAAAGCTTCAAATATATTAATAGATATTCAAGTTTGGCGTAGATGATGGTATTCTCCTCCTTAGATAAAACTGAAATAATCTTCTTTGCTTGTAGCTATATGGAAATGCCTACCAAACAGATCACCCTGCTCATATGTAATATGCCACGGTGAAGATGGAACATGCTGTTCCTAAGGATGTTACAATTAGAGGCAAAAAATTGCAGTGGTTAAAAAAGAACATCAGTGAATTCACTGAAACGGGAGTTAGTTTTGTGGCAAGCATCACTGATGCTTGAGGAGATCCTTCTGTACTTGCTGTCCCCAACACATGCAAGCATATAACTCTTTCACACTCCTTCCCTGGAACAGAACAAAGTTTATCCTTTTCCAAACTATGATCGTTCTCACAGCTGGTACAGGTGCTTTTACATGAAGTCAGTCAGTATTCCCGTTTATCAGTTCCATAAGGATTGATACAGATAGAGTTGAACTTGTTCTGCACCTACCAGCACCTCACCAAAATATTCTCAGATATACACCCCACACAAATTCAACTTCACCATTACCAGCATAAAGAAATCACACCTAGAATTCCTCTCCACTTGGCCATTGATCTTCCCACTGAAAAAGCATTCAGTTTAAAGGATTGCTAACGCTATGCCAGCAGGAGCAGGCAGCTATCACACATAAACAAATGGGTTCTGTCCTGGTAATCTAACCTTACGATAAACCACTCCAACCAAAATTTAGCAGAACCAGATGTGTGAACTAGCCTCTTTTCTTGACCCAGTCATCTTACCGTAGCATAGTCCAATTTTCTTAATAATAACATTGCAAAGCACTAGCAATTCAACTCTTCTTTCTTTCTTTAAATAAAGCAAGCATGCGGGGAAACTAAAAACACGTATGTTTAAAGTGGTAGAAATAAACATTCTTAAGTGAGAAAAGGAAATGAATGAAGTTCCCACCAGAAGACTACCTCACTGCCACCGTGACTGCAACTACAGCCCAAACTTGCAGCCAGTGCCCACCAGTGTTATTCTGGTCACTTCAACCACACTACTCTAGTTCACACCCTCTGAAAAACTCAAGCCTTACACAAGAGCATGCAATTATGGCCAGGCAGTCTTGACCACTGGAGGGTTTCTTCACTGCTGGGTCATCCTGAAATATTCCAGGAAAAGATCCGTGGCATCCAAGATGTCCTCTTCTCTCCTCTTTATCCAGGATCAGTCCTGCTGTGGTTGGCTGAAGCTTTCTTCTTTGCTCTTCATTCACCTCTGTAGCCCCCTGCCTTGTGGGATGGATTGAGGAGGCAGTGCCAGTGATACGCAGCAGGAATGAGATGTTGTCAGTTTTTGAGCAGACTCCTAACTCATCTGAATTGCTCCACACTGGGTGCAGTGATTTAGGAAAGTCCTGCTGATGCGCAGAGCTATTTTGCAATCATGCCCTTCTGTTCATCTGTTCCATTCAAGTGAGAGAACACTACAGTGACAAACTTCACTTCTGAGCTTCCTTGCATTTTAAATTTATACCCAAAACCCACATTGAGAAAGCGGTTTGGTGTTTCCGTACAGAAATAAAACCTATTTATTTTTATGAGGGTAATGTACCAGGCTAAATAAAAATAACCTCACACAGCACTTCAGGGCAAAAAAGAATTTTGCATAATTCAAGGCAGTGACCTACAGCATGCTGATCTACAGGGGACCCACTCTTCCCCTACCCCTTGGTGTACTAGTTACATAGGACAGTACCACCTTTGGCAGCATCCTTCTTGTTGCATCATTCCAAACGGCTTTACAGAGCTGCCCTGCTATCAGTGTTTCTGTTGCCATCCATTATTTTCTGATTAGGCACAAGGAGAGGTATTCCTTGGACCTGTGGCATCAAGAGGGAAACAAGTTTTACACTTGGTCACTAGGGTTTCCAGCACATGTCTGCCGTGAGATTTTGACTGCATCTGGTCAGCTCTCAGAGCCTGACAAAGCATCTTTATTCAGCAGGTCTGAACCTCGCACTTGCCATAATAACTGACCCATTCTCCCCCCCCACCCCTTCCCCCATCTAAGAAGTGAACACACATGATGTATGTTTTAATGTAATACAGGGCTCCCCTAGTTGTGTCTCAGCTTCTCCTATCTGGCACCAAAGCCTGATTAAATATTAACATGGGGTGGGTCCTATTATTTCCTGACTTCCGAGAATCCATTGGTAAATTGAGATCTAGCTGCTAAAAATTTCTGACACAACATCATTTGTATTGAACCCCCTTTCCATGCCAGAGTGCCAGTGTTAATAAATCAGGCTGTTCTCATTGAATAAATCTATTTAAATACTTATAAAATATTAAAGATGCATTTGGGAAAAGCCTCTAAGGTGATTGTTGCACCCATGCACCTCACAGTAACTAATTTATTAAAGAGTTTGCAAACCTGGGAAGGAAGGGAAAAGAAAAATGGTTTCATAAACCAAGAGCAGAAGCCAATTTTTCAGCCAAGATGATGAAAGGAAGCATGCATTTCTAATCAAAAAGACAGATACGCCTTTTCTCTCCCACCATTCCCTCAACAGCAAAGTGCCTTTTCATCATCAACAACACTCCATTCCTAATGTCTGCTGAGGCCTTTCTGCACCTTCTCCATACACTAGTAATGTACACACAGCATCCCTTTGAAACAAGAGCCCATTAGCTGTGGCAGACTACCTTTTCACATGAAGTCCTTCCGTTGGTAGTCATCAGCAGAGTGCTAAATCATCCCAACTGGGCATGCTCACATCATGGCAGCGGGATAAACAGATATTTAGAGCCGCAGAATGAAAATTGCTTTTCTACCTTTCTTGAAGGGTATTTTTTTTTAGGAAAGGTCATAAACTACACAGGGAACATCAAGCTTTCCTCTCTCACTCCCCTCCCTCCTCCCTTAAATACAGATTTTTTTAACAAATCCACTTTTGCTTACACCCAGGTCATCTGTAATTTTAGACCTTCAACCACCAGCCAGTCCCCTTTAAAGATTACATAGTAAATGCGACCATAAATTTGCCCCACAATAAGAAACGAGTTTGAGCATGCCCTGAAAGAGGGATTTATGTGATTGTTTTCCTTCCAGTGGGTGTGGTGAAGGGATATAGAAACTGTCAGCGAGAGCAGCAAGCGGGGTGATACTTCACAATAGCTACCTGAGTAATGCAACAGAGATTAAGCCTAAATTGAGGACTGCTATTTCAGAGGACAATTAATTTTCAGGCTGTCGTAAAAGCTCTGTTGACATTTCTCAGCTGAGATTTTGCTTCTCAGTAAGGGTTTAAACAGCTTTGTTCAATGCAGGCAGTGGTGCTGCTGCCATTCTTTGGGTTAAGTCTAGGCTTTCCCCCCCAAATAAAAGTGTAATGCTTTCTATTGTATTTCTTTCTCTGACATGCAAGAAAGCTTCTGTGTATTTTGTTAATGCTTACTTCTAGATCTTCACCTGAGACCCCATCTCAGACAGCTTTTTTTCTGTAAGTGACTGATTTGGTATCCTAATGCAGTTGCGCAGGAAAAAAAAATGAAGCAACGAAACTATAAGCAGCCTCTGACCACATTTGGATAAGGGTTTGCTTGTTAGACACCTTTGCTGATCCCTTGCAAGCACCTAGGAGCACAATGGACTCTAGGAACAGAAAATCTGTTTATCTCTAACTATGTTTTTCTGCATGTCTGGGTTATCCTGCAAGTCAGTAACCAATTTTACCAAAAGAGATGGCAGATGATGGTTCCAGGTCAACAAAGAAAAATTCTGGCTCCTACCTGACAATACTGCAAGAATTGCCTTTTGCTTAAGTGACAACAAGATGCCATCCAAGCTGACTATGACAACAGACCAGCATCACTATAAGCTATCTTGCCACTGTGACCTGGGGCATGTTCTTCCAGGAGGTCGCCTAAAAGCAGGTGCTTAAGTGCTGTCACTAGGCAGCACAGAGAGCCCAGAGACAAGAAATAAGAGCTAAACTTTGGAAAAGGTCTTCTGCTCCTCCAGATCCTAGTGGCCAGCTGTAAGCACCCCCGTTGGAAGTGGCGTGCCTTGTCACTGGGTCCGATTTATGACCAGTGACAAATTGTCTGTCAGGAGGCAGCTGCTCT